TGAGTTCAAGCACTGCACAATTGCTGAGGTGACCATCCTGTTCAAGTTGCTGACTACATTTAAGTCATATTGATGTGGGGGAAATGAAATTTCTCTCATTTGTGACCCTAAATGCTTTATTAGAAACTATATCATGTTTTAAGAAATAATAGTAATAATTGTTGGATGATGATTTTCATCACAACCTTCCTGCAGGTCATTAAATCCCCCCCTCCAGTTATTAACTGTAGGAAAAATTATCCCATTGGTACCAATTGATTTAATCTCTGCTCCCATGGTTCATTGTGACCTATTATTAATTTTCTCTATACCTGTTATAAGCATTTGGAAACCTGATGTTTCTACCCTTAGTTAGTTCAGAACCAAACAAATGCCAGCTCTATAAACAGCAGTGTCAACAGGTAGCAATGTTGCTACCTTTACAAACATCTAACATTTTTAACTTTCTTATATATTCATTTAAGGCTTTGAATTACAGATAAAACTATAATCTACAAAAAAAGCAATCCTTATCATTTATACTTCTTAAGTTCAAAGAACTGGGACACGATTACACAATGCAAGACGTGTCCTGAATGGACAAACAAAATCTGCTTAATTGTTTCTGAGCCCTCTTTCATCTGAAGCTTAAACAATAAGAAGAGGATAAAAGGATTTTTCAAGTGTGAGGTCCCTGACTGCTCAATAATCAGATGCCTCCTATACACCTCAAAACAGGCAGCTGAAAAATAGTATATGTTTGCAGCATGACTTGCATGAAATTGTATTGTTTAAGGAGGGAAATAATATTTATATTCAACACTTGATCAAGGTGCATTTTCATAATGTGTCGTCATCTCCCCGCCCAAAAAATTAAAAAGTGCTACAAACCTACATTTCGCAGAACAAACTGCGAACGATATACAAATCACCATGCAATTGAAAGTTATCTTCAAAAGGTAAGTGAACTTTTTAGAAAAACTGTAACAAGTTATTCTTGCAATAACTATCAGACCCGCTGATACACAAATAATTGTCATGTGGATCTTAAACTAACTTACTTATACAGAAGTGGAATGGAATTTAATTACAGTTGCTTTCAAGAAAATATGGCAACGTTGAAACTCTGTCCTATATGCTATCTATGAATGATCTAACTGTAAAACGTTACATTGGAACCTGTCCAATACTCAACAGAAGGTCAGCCTGTTTTATCAGATAAATGGGTAATTTAGCTGATGATAGTCAGATGGTATAATAAATATTCACAAAAAGTCATATGCATCATCACAACCAACCATATTAGACTGCAGTGTGTGACAATGAAGCCAGCAGCTCCCAGACCTGCATATGTAAGAGGTTTTGTATGAATTAGCTGTTTTTTCAAGTTCCACTCAACTACCCTGGGCTGCTCCCTTGTTATTCAATGAACTTACCAAAGCACTTAATTTCATTACCCAATTCACTGCTTTTCATTTCTGCCTGGAGGGTGGAAAAATATGTAACTTATGGTCAATTCACACATTGTACTGGACTTCTTCAGGGAAAATGTAGCATAAAAGCGGCAACGCAGTGATCTTACACAAAGGCGGACTGTAAATCGGAAATTTAAGAAATAATCTGTTCACAAGTGATATCTTTGTGATGCCTAGGCAGGGGTGTAGCTAGCCGCTCTGGCAACCGGAGCGCCGGGGGCGGGGCAAGCTGCCAACGTGGACAGGGCGATCCACCCACGGAGTCCGCCTGACAGACGCAAGCTCCACGCTGCCATTTCAGGCAGCTTAGGGCCCCGAGCCACCGCCTCACTCCCAGGAGAGACACGTGCCTTGGGTGCACTGCAGGTCAGGCCCCGTGGTAAGTGCTGCCCCTGTGGTGTGCCTTTTGTCACCCCCTCAGGGTGACAACCTAGCAGTTCAAAAGCACGTCAAAGTGCAAGTAGATAAATAGGTACCACTCCGGCGGGAAGGTAAACAGCGTTTCCGTGTGCTGCTCTGGTTCGCCAGAAGCGGCTTAGTCATGCTGGCCACATGACCCGGAAGCTATATGCCGGCTCCCTTGGCCAGTAAAGTGAGATGAGCGCCACAACCCCAGAGTCGGCCACGACTGGACCTAATGCTCAGGGGTCCCTTTACCTTTACTTTTACAGGGATTACACAGGCCCCTTTTGTGTCTTTGTGTCTTTTATCTCACATTATATTATGGAGTGGAACCACCACCACATTTGTGAAAGGAGCAAGGAAATTTCACAAGTTATGCTAGAAACATAGTTTAGCCTGAAATGTGTTACTTTTTACTGTTGTTCATATGTGAAGAGCCAGTGCAGTGTAGCGGCTCTTCACAGACAAGGACATGGGAGACCAGGTTTCAAATCTCTGCTCAGGCCTGAAGTTCAGTGGGTGACTTTGGACAAGTCCCACTACCTCTCAACCAGGAGCACAAACTCCTATGAGCGGAGGTGTCTTCAGTCCCCTCAATATTTTGTAGCAGGGTGCTCAGTCCCCCCCCCCCAATACTGAGAGCCTAGCATGAAGATGTGGGGTGTGAAACAGAAGAGCAGTCAAGTACAACATTCCTAGTATGAACATGTTTACACATGGGGAGGAATGTTTCTCCAGCCAGCAGGTAAACTTCCTGTTTCCTTCTAGGCTGGGAAAGACTTCCTCTACATGTGACTAGAGGTGGGCGTGGCCCCACCTGTGCAGGTAACAACAAAAGCACAGGGCAGGGCAGCCATCTCTCTCTTTTTGACTTCATGCATCAAAGAAGGAACATCTGCTTAGCCAAAGATGCTCTCTTGGCCTCCAGCCAAGAGAGGACAAAGGGACTATCTCTTTATGGGATAGTTTCCAGGTGTATGTTACTTTTCTAAGCTAAGTCTACCTTCTGGGATACAATTGTGGACAGAATGTGAGTAAACTATTTTTATACTTTAAAGAAGACTGTGTCGTGTCTTATCTTTTATGAGGGAATAAGGGGAAAATACCAGAACAGAGGCTTTAGCGAGCCTGAGCAAATGCATCTGTTGTGAGTTTAAAAAGGGGAATGTTACTCTGCTAAATTGTGAACTTGTTTACACAACTTGGAAAGGCTATAATTAAACAATATATCCTCTCCTGCATCCCTGAACATTCCCATAGGAGCCTCCATCTGAAATGCTGCTTCCGAGGCATGCCAGGCCACCAGTGGTGCCACAAGGACTGCCAGGCTGCTGGCTGGCTTGCTAGGCTGCTTGTTGTCGGCCTAGCAGGCCTAGCAGGCCTGCCAGCAGCCTGTCAAGCTTCACAGCACTGGCAGTGGCCTGGCAGGACTCATGCTGGTGGCCTGGCAGGCCTTGCCACAGCAGGAGGTTGCGGCAGGAACGTCGGACCCGCCAAGTGTAGAAAGAGCCCCGCCAGTGAAGGTAAGGGTGGTTAGCAGCTGCTGCAGCTCTTCTTCCCTTACTTCCGGGCTGACCTGAAGTACTTGCTGAAAGTGATGTGGCATGGCTCGACCGTGGAGGTCTACAGGCCACGGGGCAGGATTCATGCCACGCTGGAGCGCTTTGTGAAACTGGGCCAAAAGCATCAGCAAAGGGCAGGTTCACACCTACCGGGCGGTGGACAGGAGGAGCGCCGGCTTCCAGAAGTGCGTCGGTGTTGGCAGCCTAGCAAGCAGGCTGGCAGCGTGGCAGGCTTTGCGCAATGTGGTGGCAGTGGCTTGGTAGTCCTCGTGGTGGGAGGCGGCAGCGGCCTGCCAGGTCTCGCTGTGGCACTCCTTGGTGGCAGAGAAAGATATCAGCTCGTGAAGGTAAGGCAGAGCCACGTGGTCCCGCAGATGCGGCAGGGAGGCGAGCGTCAGGGTCGTGTGGCAGCAGTGGACCGGTGTGGGTAGTGGCAGTGAGGTCGTACAAGGGGCAGGGAGGTGAGCAGTGTTGGGATACGTTCAGGGAGATGGGGGCATTTGGCAGGCCCCCAGCTGGCTCCAGCCTCCAGCCAGCAGCCGGCCAAACTTCGGTTCTTAGAACAGCATCAGTCAGTGACTCAAGCCTCAGAAGCCTTCAGAAACTGGGCACACTCTAATCAGCAGAGTGAATAACTCTTCACAATGGAAGTGGCAGAGAGAGGCATATGTAAGCATATTTACAAGCGTTGGGTGGCGCTGTGGGTTAAACCACAGAGCCTAGGACTTGCCAATCAGAAAGTTGGTGGTTTGAATCCCTGCAACGGGGTGAGCTCCCGTTCAAAAGCCAACCTAGCAGTTCGAAAGCACGTCAAAGTGCAAGTAGATAAATAGGTACCACTCCGGCGGGAAGGTAAACGACGTTTCCGTGCGCTGCTCTGGTTCTCCAGAAGCGGCTTAGTCATTCTGGCCACATGACCCGGAAGCTGTACGCTGGCTCCCTCGGCCAATAAAGCAAGATGAGCGCCGCAACCCCAGAGTCGGTCACGACTGGACCTAATGGTCAGGGGTCCCTTTACCTTTATTCAGCATTAGGAACAAAGGAAAAGCATGTCTGCTTCCCTTCATGTCCAAGCAAAAAACAGTATAGCAAAAGCTATATGCAGAAGTTCCCAGCAGACTGCGCTGGAAGTAAACAGACATGTGACATACAACTCCACATGCCTGGTCTAAATGTGGAATGGAACTATATCCTAACAAGTAGTGGGGACCCGCAGGGCGGTGGTGGCAACAGTGGCATGAATAGATGGGGGGGGGCATGGCATGGTGGAGGGGTGACCGTATGCTCGTGTGATGTCACAGGCAGGGGTACCAACTGGAATAAAATATTGGGGGCCAGGTAAGCCCCGCCCCACATCATTGATGGCGCACACCATTGGAACGGCAATGCCCATTAACTTTGGGGGAGGTCGGCCCCTCAGATACTTTATGGGGGGGAAGCGAAGGGACCTTGGCTCCTACGCAGGCGCGCAAGTTGGCACCTCTGCTCCCGGCTTATCGTGAGGCGAGAAAGGGACAGCGGTCCGCTCGCTTTTCCCGCCGCCGCCGCCTGGGGCGAAGGGGCGGAGTCGACGCCTTATGCAAGGGCTGAGGGCGTGAAGGGGAAGACGACGAAGGAGGCGCGCGCGCAACAGCCTCTCCCCTCCACGCCTTCGCCGGCGGCGCTTTCCTGGGACGGCCGGGGGAAGTCGCTGCCGCTCGCTCAAGTCCGCTGAGGGGACGAGGACCCTCCGCTTCCTCAGGGGCGGCAGCAGCAGCAGGTGCGGTGCCCGAAGCCCCTTCCAGAGGAGAGCCGCTGCGTCTTCATCTCCTTCGAGCGGCGTCCTGCCCGCGCCCTCCCTCCGCTCCCGGCTCCTTTACGAGGCTGCCCGGGCGCCTCGGGTGACTGGCTCCTCCCCGCTCCCTTGGCCGGGCGGAGGCGGGCGGCGTGCGCTTGTTTGGTCTCTCGAAAAAAGACTTTCCAGTCCGCGCGCCGCCGTTGTTTTTCTCCCCGGCCGCCGAGCTCATGTTTCCCTCTTGGGCGACGGCAGTGGCGGCCGGTCTGGTCTCCTTGCACTTCCTCCAGAAGCTCTTCTTCCCTTACTTCTGGGCCGACCTGAAGTACTTGCTGAAAGTGGCGCGCTATGGCTTGAGGGTCGAGGTCTACAGGCTGCGCGGCAGCGTTTCCACCGCGCTGGAGCGCTTCGGGGCGCTGGCCCGCCGGCAGCCCGACAAGCCCTTCCTCATCTACGAGGAGCAGGTGCACACCTACCGGCAGGTGGACCGGAGGAGCAACCGGGTGGCGCGGCTTTTCCTCGAGGAAGGGGCGCTGGCCAGGGGCGACACCGTGGCTCTGCTCATGAGCAACGAGCCCGACTTCATCCACGCCTGGTTTGGGCTGGCCAAGCTGGGCTGCGTGGTGGCTTTCCTCAACTGCAACGTCCGCGCCAGGTCCCTCCTGCACTGCATCGCCAGCTGCGCGCCCAAGATGCTGGTGGTGGGAGCAGGTAAAGTACGCGCCTGATCCGTGTTCGAAACTCCCCCGTTGTTCTAGGCGCCTTTGGCGACAGGGAATTTCCTTAGGGAGAGTAGTTTCTGGGAGCTGCACTGCCCCTGAGATTTCTGATTAAAGCTGCAGAGTGGAAGGAGAGGAGGAGCTTTTTCTGCCTCCCCACTTCCAGCTGCTCTCTGAAGACTGGAGAAGTCACCCTCTTTTCACAGGCTGTGAAGGACTTTCCCACAAATTTATTGACAGCTGCATGAATCATTATAGCTAGGAAGTGGAAGGGGAAAGTAGAATATAAAATGGAAGGATGGTATAAAGTGGTGTGGAGTGTAGCTATTAATGATAAATTAACATGTGCCATTAACCTAGCAGTTTGAAAGCAGCCCTGAGTGCAAGTAGATAAATAGGGACCGCTTACCAGCGGGAAGGTAAACGGCGTTCCGTGTGCTGCACTGGCTCGCCAGATGCAGCTTTGTCACGCTGGCCACGTGACCCGGAAGTGTCTCCGGACAGCGCTGGCTCCCGGCCTATAGAGTGAGATGAGCGCACAACCCTAGAGTCTGTCAAGACTGGCCCGTACGGGCAGGGGTACCTTTACCTTTACCTTTACCTTTTATTAAGGTAAGATGGGGAATATGCAGGAGAAATTATTTTGAGGAGATACGGAGGGTGTCTGTAGAATTTGTACTGTTAAAACGGAAAGGGGTCAAACCATCACAAGTGGTGTTGAAATTTGGGGAGGTGGGATAGTTACAATGGAATGGCCTTGGTGGTGGTGTGCACATTTTATTCTTATTTATGATTATTACGTTGTCAAAATAAAGTTAAAAAAACAAAAACAAGAGACCCTCTGAAGAATATTAGGAGGGTGGGATCGACCATCTGAAAAATGAACAAAATATTTTAGCTGCGGTTCATTCATTTTCAGCTTTGTATTCTTGTTCTTAAAAAAAAGTGCACCTAGACTTTCCGTTGTTGCGCCCATAACCTAAGTTTAAGGCACCATTTAGCTCCTAGCTTCCATATCTGTTTCTAACGCTGCACCTGATATTTGCATATTGCCCGCCCCTTTATCCTAGTGCACTTCATTCTCCCTCCTCAACATGCCCTATAGTTTATTCCTTCTCATGGTCGTAGCAAAAGGGGTCAGGGGTCAGCTGCCCCCTCCCCCCCATCAAGTAAAACAAGAGAAATACTTAATTAACTGACCAATCACATCGCTTCTGCCACCCCTAACAAAAATCCTGGCTACACCCACGTTCATTCTAGAGAATCTAGAGAGGGGGGTGGTTATGTCAACCAGGGATGCCCACTTGAATAAAATATTGGGGGGGGGGCTGGAGTTAAGCTCCGCCCCACATAATCAATCGCATGACATGCTGTATGCATGCCATATGAATGGCAATGTCTGTCAACTTTGCAGGTGCCCTGCCCCCTCAAATATTGGGGTGGGGGGAATGGACCTTAGCCTCTCTGAGTTTGTTCCTGTGATACCAATTCAGGCTGCATGCAGATCAGTGATTGTGTATTTGAATACTTCTTAGAGTAGAAAGGTCTATGAGCATAGAAAATGGTTTGATAGGGTAAAGCCTTCTCCTTGATAGTCTAGTTTTGCATGTGCGTGGAGACTGTATGCTACATACAAGCATGCAAACACACACACACACACACACACACACACACAGTCCTGAAAAAGCTTTGGCACTATTCTGAATATATAAACTTATAGCGGTAGGTGAGGGTGTTCTAAATTGTAATCACAAGGACAATGTGCTTTAGTAACAAAGAGGTCCCATGTTTTGCTAGAAGTTGCATGCAGCATGCACAGCGATTTTCTCCATATCTTAAGGGTTTGGAGCAGATTCTCAACATTACTTGGTCTCAGTTATGCTTTAGCAGCCAATTTAGAAGTCTTGAATGAATGAATGAGTGAATGAATGAATCTTTATTTGCATCAGCCGTCGGCCATAGCAACAAAACAGCAATGCAATATACAAAGAACAGAAATAAAAAGTCGATTATACAAAACACACTTCCGGGTCCTGAATCAGCAGTCAAATAGTGGACTTTATTCTAAGTGCCCCAGCTAAAAACCTTGAAACCTTTGCTGTCATCTGCTACTCTTGATCTGCCAGGAGGACACTGGCAGTGGTTGGGTGAGCTGGAATGGACAATAAGAGAGGGGTGATAATCTCATTCCTCAAGTCTTTATAAAGAGTGCAAGCCAGAAGGGCATGCACCACTGATTCGGTACTGCCAGCAAAGGATTCCTGCTAGCCCAATGGCAATTGCTCCCTCTCCTGTTCCCTGCATCCCATCCCATCCCCAGATCTGCTCCAAAGGGTCTGGGGTGAAACCCAGAACAGATATTAGGGGCATACAGAGGGAGGACAGAGGATAAGCTTCCATCCTTCAAGGAAACTCCTTGCACTTACGGAACCTTAAAGGTAAAGGGACCCCTGACCATTAGGTCCAGTCGTGACCGACTCTGGGGTTGCGGCGCTCATCTCGCTTTATTGGCTGAGGGAGCCGACGTACAGCTTCCGGGTCATGTGCCAGCATGACTAAGCCGCTTCTGGCAAACCAGAGCAGCGCACGGAAACGCCGTTTACCTTCCCACCAGAGCGGTACCTATTTATCTACTTGCACTTGACATGCTTTCGAACGGCTAGGTTGGCAGGAGCAGGGAGCTCACCCCATCGCAGGGATTCGAACCGCTGACCTCCTGATCGGCAAGTCCTAGGCTCTGTGGTTTAACCCACAGCGCCACCCGCGTCCCTACGGAACCTTAGCACTACCTTGAATATAAGCCAGAGGCTTTGTTTACAATTAAGTAGTATACAGGTTTTATTAAATACTGTAAAATACACGTTAAGTCAGCAAATGTATCTTTGGCAATTCGAAACCTGGGTTTGCAAAGGTAATGCAGATGAAGAGGGGCATTTATAGAGGCATGACTGCAGGGTGAAATAGTAGAATTGGGAGGCACTGTGGATATAGACTCATAGAATTATAGAATTGTAGAGCTGAAGGAACCCAAAGGGTCTTCTAGTCCAACCCCCTGCAATACAGAAATTTCTCTTCTCTTTAATGTAATTGAACCTTCCCTGTTCAATGCTGTAAAAAGGTCAAGGACCTCTGGACAGTTAAGTTCAGTCAAAGGCGACTATGGGGTGCAGTGTTCATCTCACTTTCAGGCCGAGGGAACCGGCGTTTGTCCACAGACAGCTTTCCAGGTCATGTGGCCAGCATGACTAAACCACTTCTGGCGCAACAGAACACCATGACGGAAACCAGAACACATGGAAACGCCGTTTACCTTCCCGCTGCAGCAGTACCTATTTATCTACTTGCACTGGTGTGCTTTTGAACTGCTAGGTTGGCAGAAGCTGGGACAGAGCAACGGGAGCTCACCACTGTCATGCAGATTCAAACTGCAAGCCCAAGAGGCTCAGTGGGTTAGATCTGCTTGAATACCTCTGGTGAAGGAAAGTTAATACTTTCTGAGGCAGCCTGTTCTACTGATGAACAGCTCTTAGTGTTAGGAAGCGTCTCCTGATGTTTAGCTGTAATCTGCTTTCATGCAGTTTCCACCCACTGAGTCTAGTCCTGTTCTCTGGAACAGCAGGGAACAAATTTGCTTCATCTTCCATATGACCACCCTTCAGATATTTGAAGACAGCAGTTACGCTCCCTATGCATTGTTGCATGGACAGCAGAATGCAGAGGATGGTGCCTTGTAGTGTCAGCTATCCCCACATGCATGCAACTGTTAACCCCTCTATACGGCGATTTTTACTTAATTTTATGATGCCCTTTGATCTGTTTTGTTTTACATGTTTATCAGTTAAGATTTATAACGTTATCGTCTGCTACTCTGGAACTCTTGTGAGAAGGGCAGACTACAAATACATAATAAATAAACCCTTCCAAGGTGCTTTCGGGTGTCCAAATTATCTCCCATCACCCAACCTCTTAAAGAAAGCTTCCTAGAAGGTTTGCAGATTCCCAGCATACTTGCCTTCCAGTATGAAAGCCTCTCCCTGATGCAGAATTACCAAGGTGGGAAAGAATACAGTGATCAATTATTGAAAACAGTATATGCTGATTTCCACTGACAGGCATAAGTATTTGAGAATTACTTTATTATTATTTATTAAATTTGCATACCATCCTTCATCGGAAGATCCTAGGGCGGTTCACACAGATAAATACAAATTAAGAATACAAAATACATAATAAAACAAAAACAAAGCAGTAAACCCCTCCCACAAACGCATTTAAAAAGCCATAGAATGTTAATCAGCCCAATGTCTGGTTGAAGAAAAATGTTTTCACCTGGCGCTAAAGATGTGTAATGAAGGCGCCAGGCGAGCTTCCTTGGGGAGAGCATTCCACAAACAGGGAGCTACCACAGAAAAGGCCTGTTCTTGTGTTGCTGCCCTCCTGATCTCAGATGGAATGGCAGATGACAAAGGGCCTCAGATGATGATTGCAGGGTCCAGGTTGGTTCATATGAGGAGAGGTGGTCCTTGGGGCATTGTGGTCCTGAGCATGTATAACATGCTCCTGAAATAGCTGATATAGGCCTATATGGATTATCATATAGAAGACACATGAATAGCATAATTTTTAAATCCAACTTTAGTTGATGCTAAAGATTTCTGTAAAATGTCACCAGTAAAAACTCTCTGGAAGATTAATTGTATTTCAAGAATCCTGATCATTGTCTCTTTGACCACTTAACACAAGACTAAGTGGTCTTGCATGGTAGTTAATTCCTTGTTAACATTGTACAAATTCCATGTGTCATTTGTTGCATATGGTAAATAGACTTGTGTCTTGTTTTGTCATGCTTATGTGGAGCATGACCCTCCGTTCTATGAGATAGTTATTAAGAACAGGAGAAAATGTATACATTTTTAAAAATCACTAGATAATTCAATTTGTCTTTTAAGGAACAGTTCAGTAAATATTGTTGAATCGCCACAAAAATTACTGAATTGACTTTTATAGGATCACTGTGAGACTGACTGTACTCTAAAAAATTATGCTGAAACTGAAGTAGAAATGAATGACATCTGGAGTTGTACTTGGATTGTTTATTCTTTTAGCATGTTTCAGTTTAATATTTTGCTTTAAAAGTCTTTCTTCTGAAAGTTCTATTAGCCTACATATTACCAGATGAATGCAGCTGTCTTAAATTAAAGATTGATGGGAGTAAGTTCTTGCATTGATGAAATTCATTCTGAAAAAGTAAGGAGAAACTAATGTCTGTTTAGAATCAGGGGAAATGGATTTTATTTAACAAAATTAACGTGCTTTGAAAAGTACTGTACTTTAGGAAGTGATGTAAGATGATACGGAAACATAATCACTAGGCATCATTGAAATGCTATTCTGTCAAGACAATGGGAGCAGCTGCAATCTGCCAATTCTTTGTGAACTAGATGTACTTCCAGCAGGTTTTGATACTGTTGATCGTGATATCCTCCTGGGATGTCCCCGAGTCACAGGATGAGTGCCCCATTTTATGGTGGGTTTAGTTCTGCTTACAGGATTGATTCCAGAAAATGCTCTTGGGTGACTGTGGCTTGACCCTCTGTGGTGTGCCATAGGGCATGATTTTGTCCCCAGTACTATCTAATGTTCATATGAAGCCACTGGGAGTGTCACTGGGAAGCTATGGGTCAAGATGACACTGGTATGCTGATGGTGGTAAGCTCAATTTCTCGGTAACATCTGAATCGGGAGGTACAATGCATTCTTAATAAACTGCAACTTAATCTTGACAAGATAGTGGCCATGTCTGGAAATTGAGCTTCGTACAAGCTCTAGATCAGGTTGTACTCCATATGAAGGAGCAGGTGTGTAATTTGGGGCTTCTCCTAGATTCATTACCAGCTTTGGTTGGTATTCCATCTACAACCAGTTCTATACACTGAGAGCTTTGCATAGATGGTCCATACATTGGTAACTTCCCAATTAGACTACAGTAAAGTGCTGTACGTGGGGCTACCCTTGCATCTGGTTTGCAAGCTACAGCCAGCTGAAAATGCAGCTGCTAGAGTGCTTAGTGGGACACCCAGCTGTAGAGGTACTGTGCCAGTTTTGAAAGATGTACCACATCTTAATTAGACATTAAGGCAAGTGTTGGTACTGACCTTTAAAGCCCTAAACGGCCTCAGTTCAGTATATCTGAAGGAGCGTCTCTACCCCCATTGTTCTACCCAGACGCTGAGGTCCAGTGCCGAGGGCCTTCTAGCGGCTCCCTCACTGCAAGAAGCCAAGTTACAGGCCTTCTCGGTGGTGGTGCCCGCCCTGTGGAATGCCCTCCCACCAGATGTCAAAGAGAACAACAACTACCAGACTTTTAGAAGACATCTGAAGGCAGCCCTGTTTAGGGAAGCTTTGAATGTTTGATGCATTACTGTATTTTAATATTTTATTGGAAGCTGCCCAGAGTGGCTGGGGAAGCCCAGCCAGATGGGCGGGGTATAAATAATACATAATAATTAATAATGAATAATGAATAATTAATAATTACCACTTATTTATACCCCACCCATATTTTTTTATGATGATGATGATGATGATGATGATGATTATTATTATTATCATCATTATTTCAGGGTTTTGTTGTTAACATAACATTTAAAGCCTAAACCACTTGGGACAAGGATACCTAGCAAACCACCTCTCCCAGTACAATTCGAGCTTATATTTAAGATCTGCCAAGGAGAATCCTCTGGCCTCTTCACAGCCACTTCAGAGGAGAAGCAAGGATGCGTGCATGTGCATGTGCATGTGTGGTGTAGTGGTTAAGAGTGGTAGACTCATAATCTGGTGAACTGGGTTCGCGTCCCTGCTCCTCCACATGCAGCTGCTGGGTGACCTTGGGGTAGTCACACTTCTCTGAAGTCTCTCAGCCTCACTCACCTCACAGAGTGTTTGTTGTGGGGGAGGAAGGGAAAGGAGATTGTTAGCTGCTTTGAGACTCTTTAGGGTAGTGATAAAGCGGGATATCAACTCTAAATCCAAACTCTTCTTCATGTGTTTTCTCCCATAATGCTAAGCCAGGACTAGCTAACCTGTGGCCCTGCTAAAGTTGTTGGATCCCACCAGCCCCAGCCAGCATAGCTAATGGTCAGTTAGTCTGACAACATCTAGGGGAAGGCATAGCTTAGTTACCCTTTTGTCAAACTTTGGATTAGTGTTACGTGAAGCTAATCATCATGTCTTTCTCATACCCTAGTGCAGTGAAAGAAATGAAAAGCAGAATGGTGCTTTCTAGATCTAGATGATAGTATATTTTGTTCTCAGTGGCTCCTTTTGGGTTCTGTTGAAGATTGTAATCTGGGACACAAACCTGACCTGCTTCCTGCCCCAGTCTCCGATCCTGACAGACATTTCACTACTGATATCTACAGTGGTACCTCGGGTTACAATACGCTTCAGGTTACATACGCTTCAGGTTACAGACTCTGCTAACCCAGAAATAGTACCTCGGGTTAAGAACTTTGCTTCAGGATGAGAACAGAAATTGTGCTCTGGTGGCACGGTGGCAGCGGGAGGCCCCATTAGCTAAAGTGGTGCTTCAGGTTAAGAACAGACCTCCGGAACGAATTAAGTACGTAACCAGAGGTACCACTGTATTTATTGAATCCAGTATTGTATTTAATATGTTGCAATATTATTTTTTAGATATGCTTGGAACCTTAGAGGAAATTCTTCCTAGCCTCCAAGAAGATATCAGGATTTGGGTGATGGCGAAAGAATCCACATTGCCACATGTTGATACCGTTTTGGACAAGCTGGAAGTTGCCTCTGATGATCCTGTACCAGCTAATCTCTGTGTTGCTAAAAACTTGAAGGATCCTCACCTCTACATTTTTACCTCTGGAACAACAGGTACAACATTCTATAAAGGTTTTCAATACACAGTCAGAAGTGATTGTGGTGTTTTTTTTTTTAAATGATTAACCTAGTGCAAACACACTATAAATCTACACTGATGGGAGGGCCCCACCTCGGAAAGCTCTTGGCTTGGAAAACAGTTAAAACTTTTCTTTCTTTCTTTTTTAAGGCCAGCTGCCTACTGTATACTTCTGACCCCATAAACCTATATAGTACGTAGTAAGCTTTTCAGTTTTTCCAGATGGCCAGGACATTAAACTTACTCATTTAAGAAATAACTACTTTTTTGTTTTACCGTTTAATATTGCAAAACAATATCCAGCCACCTACTAATTCTACTTTGAATATTGGAACAAATAGCAGCATATTTTCTGATCATGTGACATAGCTTTGGAATTTGGCTTCGTGAGCTTTATAATCTCCTTTCTTAGCATGTTGTTATACATCTGTTATGAAATGTTTCCTGTCCAAGCTTGCTGAGCTTACAGGTCATTGTGGAGAAAGAAAATAGGATTAAGTTACTAACTAGCCCTTTAGTTTTCAAGCAGATGGCCAGGTTTGTTGCCATTGGTACAGATGCTAAGAAGCTAAGATCTTTATGTGCTTGTTTCGAAACACTCCTTATCGGAGGACATGAAAAGCAACATTATATAGCTGATTAAAAACAAATGTTCCACTCATAGTATTGTTATTTGTTAAATTTTATGATTATTTTTGTATTAAATATTATTTAAGAGGCCCTATTTGCCATATGTTCCTTACATTTTGATTAACAGCAAAGGCTAATTTGTGTGTCTGTGCCATATACCAATATTATAGATGCCTTTTCGTTTTCTTCTCTGATGCTTGCAGAACATGTCTTATCTCCGTTACCCATAATATTTCCTGATCAATGATATAGCACACATTCCCCCCCTTTTAACTTGTATTATTGAAATCAAGTGCTTAGATCTTAATTTTACATACATTTAAAGCCACACTTGTGTGCATGGTCCCTATTGAAATGAATGCAGCAGCATATGCAGAATGTTGAAATGGAAAAAACAACAACAACCTCTCACATCTTCCAGGATCAGGTTGAAGCGTAAGTCAGTTTAATTCATGCTGCATATATACACTCTATCACAGGAGACCTGGGCCCTGTGGGACTTGACATTCTTCCGCAGGGCCTGCAAGACGGAGCTGTTCCGCCTGGCCTTCGGTCCGGGCCCAGTTTGACCCCCCCTATATGGGACCCTGTAAGCTACCTCTTTGGCCCTTTTATTGCCTCATGTGGGATCAACATGGATAGCTGGTCCTGATGAATACTTGAGGTTCCCTACCCCTATGGTTGTAATCTCATGGGCAGTCATTTAATTTTATCCTGATTCTAATTTTTTAAGCTGTATTTTAATCAATTGTTTGTGTTTTAATGTATTTGACATTTGATGTTAGCTGCCCTGAGCCTGGTCATGGCCAGGGAGGGTGGGGTATAAACAGTGGCGTAGCGTGGGTTGTCAGCACCCGGGGCAAGGCAAGTAATTTGCGCCCCTAACCCGTGGATTTGCGCCCCCTAACCTGTGAATTTGCCCTAACCCCAGATGTTGCGCCCGGTGCAGCCGGCCCCCCCTGCACCCCCCACGCTACGCCACTGGTATAAATAAAAATTTACTTACTTTCATATAGAATTTGCAAAAGCATCATTTGCCTAAAAATTTACAACTTTTATAATTCAAGCAAAGCAGGTTGTGTGACCAGAAAAGAAGCTCTTTACTAAGGAAATAATTAGACTATCTAATTATTACAACTATATGTGTGATAGAATATCGGAGATTGGATCACCAGACATTTTTTTCTTTTATTCGAATGAAGCTGAGGGGAAAGGGAGCTGGTTAACAGTTTGTTCCCCTCCCTCCACCAACCAAGCAATTTTCCTAATCTAATTCACACCTGTAACACCTTTGATGCCTATAGCTTCAAGATGTGATGCCTGGATTTAGATCAGGAAAGCGCCGTAGGTGAAAGAACATCAGGATGTCCAATCTGTAAAAAGCTGTAGTAGGTTTTTTTTGGGGGGGGGGAATCATTGATGGGGCTTTTTGTTTTATATACCTGGGTAGCAGGGAGTATATAGCTTCCATAAACTGGCTACTTGTTTTGAAATAATAAGTTTTCTTTTCAAAAATATATTATTATTTCATTTTTCTTCAAACAATAAAATAATATTACATCAAATTTCAATATCCCATTTCAAAATAATATGTTTTCTTAATGCATTGACTTGCCTCTTATTTTAACCTTTTCGCAGAATACATAGTGAATGGGCTTCAGCAGGAGCAACTGGTTTGTTTATTTATTTTGGATGTTACTTAGTGATATCCCAGAACAATTTGTGCAAATTACATAACCTATTTTAGCATACAGATGAAAATTTCACCCTGGAGTGCAAAAAGTAGCCATTGATTTTTAATTAAGCAGTGTTTACTTCCTTTGAAAGAAAAATATATATGTTTGCGTATATTTTATTTCTTTATTTCAGGTTTACCAAAGGCTGCAATTATTAGTCATCTGCAAGTTCTAAAAGGAGCTGCTGGATTATGGGCATTTGGTGCTACTCCTGATGACATAATTTATATTACTCTCCCTCTTTACCACAGTGCAGCCGCTCTACTTGGCATAGGTGGATGCATTGAACTGGGTAAGGCAAGTTGACATTTCCATTCCACCTTAAGGAACAGGCATGAGATTGTTGCATGTCCCATGTCTGTTTACATTCCAGCACAGATTGCTGGGAACTTCCATTTGTGTATAGCTTTTGCTTTTGCTGTTCTCTCTGAGATGACACAAGAGAGAGACGACATGTTTCTGTGTCCTGATTTATGTTTAATAAATCTGTAGCTGTAGAATGATTTCACAAGCTTCATGCCTATTCTGTGTGCGCAGTACACTCTGCTAATAGCGTGCCCTGGTCGCTGATTTACATCTAAGCACAGGCCGATGGAAGGAGACCGCACAGCTGGGGCTTGCCAGCTGGCCTCCCAGCCCTCTGCATGTCCACAGTCTTTAGTCATGCTGATGGAAAGCATGTATTGTTAAACTGCATAACAAGTGTTTCTAAAGGAGATGAAAGATCAACTACACTGAAATACAGTAATTAGAATAAGCCAAGAAAAGACCCTCAACCAATAATCACATTAATGGGATGTGCTTTGTAGTTGCTTTAAGTCACATTTCAAATCTCATTCTGCCACTTTGCTGTGATACCAGTTTAGAGAAGCTTATCCCTTGATTATTACAGAATTATAATTCATGTGCAGGGGGTGCATTCTGTCCTAGCCAGGGGACAGCTTCTAGTCCATGTTTCGGGTGTGTGCATGGCATATTGTAGGAATGCAAAGTTACAGGTTAGGTTCCATCAAGGCAAGGTCAAGCAAAGCAGAGGTCAAGTTCCAAAAAGGCAACCAATACAGGTATCATCTGGATAGATCCAAATGAAGCTTAGGGCTACAGGTCAGTCAATGCAGGCCTTAATATCCCTACGACAACCAGGAACCCTACACTGAACCTTAAATAGGACTTCTGCTTTCTCTGAGCAGTTGAGCCCCATTGCTTGGAGCAGAATTACTTTTAAAGGGGCCCAGCGCTATAAGGATGGAGAGTCAGAGACCTGGGTCATGGGAAAGGGCAGCTGTAAGAAGCTCTGGAGAATATCCTCTTCCACCTGATACATGCTGCTCCCATAGGATTTCCATTACAGGCCTCTGAGGATAGCTTTATGTTGTTGAGATGGTTCTTTACTGGCTGCAGATCATATGGTGATAAGCATAATTTGTTTCCATGATCCACTGGGAGAAAGACAGAGATGAAAGCATCTTCTGGTTTGTTTGTTTGTTTGTTTTAAAAAAAGGGGTGGGGGACTTACTGCAGTTTCACTTTTTCCTAATCAGCCAAACGAATTACTCTGAAAAGCTGGGTCTTAGTTTTTCCTCTGCATAAAATGGATGAAAGTTCACACTAATACCATGTAGTAACTTTCTGATACATAGAGGACTCCTGCGTGCACAAAAAAGTTTCAGTTTGGGTGCGGTTGGATAAGCAGGGCATCCAAACTCTAAGGAGCAGCAAACAAATTAAACATCCCTTCTGGGTTCATATAGCATTCTGCATGTTTCTGTGTAAACAGGCATTTTCACTTCAAGGGAAATTTACCAGTACTTCCCAGAAGGGCGGCAGCCAATATGGCCTGACCCTGAGCACAGCTTGATATATAACTGCTAAGATCAGAAATACGTTTTGCATGGTTGCAGTCTGCCTGTCCCTAGTTCATGAATGGGGTAACTGCCCCTGAAGGACCAGGAGTGCAGCCTGGGAGCCCAGTATACCTGAAGGAGCGTCTCCACTCCCATCATTCAGCCTGAACACGGAGCTCCAGCTCCGAGGGCCTTCTGGCAGTTCCCTCACTGCAAGAAGTGAGGTTACAGGGAACCAGGGAGAGGGCCTTCTTGGTAGTGGCGCCCGCCCTGTGGAACGCCCTCCCATCAGATGTCAAGGAAAACAAGTACCTGACTTTTAGAAGACATCTGAAGGCAGCCCTGTTTAGAGAAGTTCTTAATATTTGATGTTTTATCACTTTTTTATTAATAATAATAATATTCTGTTGGGAGCTGCCCAGAGTGGCTGGAGCAACCCAGCCAGATGGGCAGGGTATAAATAAATTATTATTATTATTATTATTATTATTATTATTATTATTATTATTTGATCTGGCCACACCAGTAGGGTAGCCCATCCTAGTTTAAGGGATATTTAGCATTACAAGAGTGTTCTGGTAGAATCAATTACCTCAAAGGCACACCGAACATGTTGTTCAGGCATGGTGATCAATCTGGTTGTGGGAGACCGGGTGCCTAGCTAGCACTGTCAGCTCCTGAGATACAACCCACCAACCATAAAAGGCTTAAAATGCACACCCCAGTTCACCCTGATATCAAGGACTTGCCCCAATCGTGGCCTGCCAGCAGTGGGAAAACATCCAAGAGAAGGATAGATTTATTGTTTATTTGAAGAAGCTGGTGCCATAATAAATCTGTTGCTGCTTTTGCTTCAACAGACTAACACGCTTCTCCTCTGGCAACAGAGCGGAGTCACTGGGCCCAGTTCAGCCTTCATGCAAAGGCACAGTGTGTTTTAGGGGTGGGGTCCATCTCAGTCTGAGGCCATAGTCCTTTCTAAGCTGTTTGAGGCCACATACCAGTGGTAGGTGGGGAAAGAGGCGAAAGTGGGTGAGGCAACAAATGTCAACTTTACCTTTCTACAGGAGCCTAGTTTTTATACACAATCTTTCACCCCACTATCAGCCATCCATACAAGCAGGACACATGATCAGATTTCAAAGACCCATTCCATTCATTCAAAAATAGTCTGCAAAGCAGAGACACTAAGAGGTGTGGCCTGAGGAGAGTACAAGGGCCAGACGGAGAGGTACGGGAAATCTGCATTCAGCCCCCAAGACTTTGAGGTTCCCTGCCCCAATGTATTGCAACATGGACATATTTTTTTTTTAATTAAACCAAGTGTGTATCAATTAAATTCAAATCTGTTCTTAAGGATGTTAGACCTAAATAAGATTATCCAGTAGGTACTGTGCATAGTGTCAGCCAAACGTTAATCCTGAAACTGTGGTTTTGTTTTCCCCCAAGGTGCGACATGTGTTTTAAGAAAGAAGTTTTCAGCTAGCCAGTTCTGGACTGATTGCAAAAAGTATAATATTACAGTTATTCAATACATTGGGGAACTGTGCCGTTACCTTTGCAAGCAGCCTGTGGTAAGTCCAATTAAAATAATACATTTATATGTTAGTTTTATCTATAGCCCACTCTTCATCTAATGAGACCCTAGAGCAGTTTACGAAAGACAATTTTAAAAAATACAAAACACAGTCAGATACCATCATGAAATTATTAAAACCATGCTTAAAACAAATGCGGCAGAAAACCTCAGAGCACAAAACTCTGACTTCCATTAATGGTTGCCATTTACCTGGACAATTTTGAATGAGTTAGAACACTCCTGCTATCTGGGTATCTAGTCTGGGTAAACAGCGTTGGAATTGTCCCCAAGATTGCAATATTGTCAACATATTTTTAGTAAGAAAAAATGGGTGCTGCAAGAATTTCAGTCATGCTAAGCATGCATAAATCTCTCTCTCGCCAAGGATCCCAGCCAAATATATTATGAGGCAGGCAACTCTTTGAAAGGATAGCCTGCCTCCTTTTATCTTATTGCTTCTAAAAGAAATCTACCTGCTTCTAAAGAACAACATTTTCCCATGTATAAGACAACCTTTTAATGAAAATCTTAGTGATAAATTGGGGGTTGCCTTATACTTGGGGTAATATGGTAAGTAAACGAGGGCTGGAGCCTTGTTGGTAGCAGGTAGCAGGGAACAGTTGGCAAAGAGGGGTCATCTGAAAAACAGCTCAACAGCTCAGCAAAATTACAAAAGAAGCTCAACAACTGTTTTTGTGATTTCCCTCAAAAAGCTCAACAACTTCCTTAATTTTAAAATTTCTTAATTTTGGACTCCCAAAAATAGGGGTCATCTTATACATGGGGTTGTGTTATACATTACACGAAAGCAGAGTTAGATGCAGTCTCCATGGCATGCATGATATGCATTTGCACTTGGGGGCCAACATTTAAGCAGAGTGATTCAGACTTCGCATAGTTAGTTTCTGGCTCCACAACTTCCCCACAAAATGGCAATTCCTTAGTTATTTATGGAAATGCCTGTATTGGCACTGACAGCATTACTGCCATGCCATGCACAAACATCCGAAAAATGTGTTGTCTGTCGTCTTATATTGTGAACGGCCCTGAGATCTGTTAATGAAGAGGGGTTTATAAATCTAACAAGTAAGTAAAAACTTAAGAAGATAAATCTGTAAAAGATAAATCAAGAGAGAACAATAGGGAAGTTCAAAGCAAGAGAAATACAAATTGTTGGATCTCACCACTGTCCTATATAAATGTGTAATAGCACCTACAAATTCATATCACAGATGAAGAATTACAATTTTTTTTGAAGGCACAGCCACTCCAGCCAGACAAATTCCTTATATGCACCCAGTGTTAATCAGCATCAGTAGGTTTCCATTCTTTTTACTATGCTATTATATTCAGAAAGATGTGGATTAGATTGGATTGTTGACATCCTGGTATGAGCCCTGCCTGATTTAGGTTGTATATTTTTCAGTGTAGAACTGAGAATAGCAATGGACAGATTGAAGATGGGGTTTGTGGAGAAAATAAAACAAGGTCTCGTTGGGAGTGCTAAAGCTTTGGTTCAAGGCCAGTTTTCTTTTCTTTTCTTCTTTTTTTTTTGTAATAGCTGCCTCCCTCTTATTAGGGCCATCATAACTGCTGAAGGAGAAACAACAATATGTTGTGTTATTTATTTATTTACACAACACACCCCACACTTTCAACATAATGTATGTTGCCAAGGCAGCTAACAGAGTAGAAAGAAACAAACTAGTATAATTTAAACCAACGAAGGTAGATAGAATTCAGCGTCACGCTATTACAAATGTTCGGTCTACGCAAGCCTATTAGCTTGCCAGATGAAACAACACCCCCCCTCCCTGTCCCCCACATGCTGGTCTGTGGGTTCTCCCCCTGAACCAATTCCAGGGGGCACACAGGAGAGGAGGAAAGCCTCATTGCACAAGTCCGAGTGCAGGGCTTCCCACTGATGGTGTTCTTTAGATCGTGGGTAGACAATCTAAGGCCCGGGGGCCGGATGCGGCCCAATCGCCTTCTCAATCCGGCCCCCGGACGGTCCGGGAACCAGCATGTTTTTACATGAGTAGAATGTGTCCTTTTATTTAAAATGCATCTCTGGGTTATTTGTGGGGCCTGCCTGGTGTTTTTACATGAGTAGAAGGTGTCCTTTTATTTAAAATGCGTTTCTGGGGTATTTGTGGGGCATAGGAATTCGTTCATTAATTTTTTCCAAAATATAGTCCTGCTCCCCCCGCAAGGTCTGAGGGACAGAGGACTGGCCCCCTTCTGAAAAAGTTTGCTGACCCCTGCTTTAGATGAATCTCGCCCAAAGCATACAATTAGTCTAATAGTGTATTTTAATTGTTGTAACACACCGTGGGATATTAGGGTGAAAGGCAGGTAAGTAATAACAACAAACTACTGCAGTAATCCTGCCCACCCAGCACATGGCCACATGACCCGGAAGCTGTATGCCGGCTCCCTCGGCCAATAAAGAGAGATGAGCGCCGCAACCCCAGAGTCGGCCACGACTGGACCTAGTGGTCAGGGGTCCCTTTACCTTTACTGCAATAACAGTGTATTAACATAAACAATAAAACCAAGCTGCTCTAAAAAAAAGTTTCGAGAGTCGATTGATATGATATTTGCATGACTTGCTTAACTCTTGTCATGTTTCTGTAGGGCCATCTCGCTCAATCTTGCTCACTTAATAGCTCTCAGATTTGTATAAGGTTTCCATGATGTCCTCAGGGTATTTCCAGTGTTTGCAACTTTGCACTTGCCTCTATAGGTCTGTTTCCTTACTCTACATGATTAATCCCAAATGCTGGCCTCTGGCCCTGGCTGTCGCCTCAAAAGTATTTTCTGCCTTGAGATGTGTTGAATTGGTTTAGTTACTTTGCAGGGACTTGTGACAGCAACTGTGATTTTGCAAACCATTAAGGTTGCAAACAATGCCATAGCAGCTTTGAATTAATCTGTCTCCTTGTGTGGGATATCTACAATAAACAAAGCTTTCTTTTGTTAATGAAAAGGATAAATGGAAACAAAGTTTACCTGCATATCAAACTGGCTACTAGAGAGTTTCGGTTTCTGTAGGGTTATGAATAAACCATTCAGTCTGAATTGAGCGGGTTTCTCTACTGGTCTTTTTTCATCACTGAACAAAAGGTCACAATAAAAGTCTTTGTTGTTGTTTTTAGTCTGGTGTTACCAGGATTTGCATTTCAATAACAGAGAATTCAGTGACCTCAGCAAAGGGTAGCTGCAGTGGTACAGATGACATGCCAATTTGAAATTAGCAAGGAA